GAAGGGGGTGGATCATGAGGTCAGGAGTTCAAGGCCAGCCTGGCCAATATGGTGAAACCCTGTCTCTACTAAAAATACAAAAATTAGTTGGGCACAGTGGCAGGTGCCTATAATCCTAGCTACTCAGGAGGCTGAGGCAGGAGAATTGCTTGAACCCGGGAGGCGGAGGTTGCAGTGAGCCGAGGTTGAGACATTGCTCTTGTTAAGCCAAGTCCAGCCTGTGCAACAAGAGTGAAACTCTACCTCAAAAAAAAAAAAAAGAGAAAAAAAAAATTTGCAAAAATGAGTAAGAGCCTCAGACACCTGTGGGGCAAAATCAAATAGTCTAATATGCAAACTACTGAATTCTCAGAAGGAAAGGACAGAAAAAAAATTTTAAAGAATAATGTCTAAAAACTTCCCAAATACACTAAGACAATTTTACAGAACCGAAAATCTCAGGAAAAAGCAAACAGGATAAATGAGAAAACTTTGCCTGGGCATACTGTGATGGTTGATTTTATGTGTCAACTTGACTGAGTTAAGGAACGCCCAGAGAGCTGGAAAAATATTGTTTCTGGGTGTGTCGGTGAGAGTATTTCTTGAAGAGATCAGCATTTGAATCGGTAGACTGAGTAAGGAAGATTCTCTTGAACCAGCGTAGGTGGGCACCGTTCCAATCAAGTGAGGGCTTGGAAAGAACAAAAAGGTAGAGGAAGGGTAAGTCCTCTCCTTGAGCTCAGACATCCAACTTCTCCTGTTTTGGACCTAGAAGTTCCTGATTCTTGGGTCTTTAGACACTATGACTTACACCAGCGCCACCACTGCCACCACCACCACCACCCCACCTCCAGTTCTCAGGCCTTTGGACTCAGACTGAATTACACCACCAGCTTCCTGGTTCTCCAGATTACAGATGGCAGATTGTGAAACATCTTAGTCCCTGTAATTGTTTGAGCCAATTCCCATGACAAACCCCCTCATATTTGCTGTGGGGAAACTCACGTAAATAAATAGAAAAAAACTCATAGATGGCCGGGCACGGTGGCTCACGCCTGTAATCCCAGCACTTTGGGAGGCTGAGGCGGGCAGGTCACGAAGTCAGGAGTTCGAGACCAGCATGGCCAGCATGGTGAAACCCTATCTCTACTAAAAATACAAAAGAATAGCCAGGCATGGTGGTACGCACCTGTAATCCCAGCTACTCGGGTGGCTGGAGCAGGAGAATTGTTTGAACCCGGGAGGCAGAGGTTGCAGTGAGCCGAGATCATGCCACTGCACTTCAGCCAGGCAACAGAGCGAGGCTCTGTCTCAAAAAAAGAAAAAAAGAAAAAAAACATATATATGTATATATGTGTGTGTGTGTGTGTGTGTGTTTGTGTATATATATATATATATATATATATATACATAATCACATATAAAAGTAATGTGATTATTAGTACAGGAAGGTACATACATATATACATCTCCCCCAGTGGTTCTGTTTCTCTGGAGAGAAACACGCATCAAAGCCAAACTGTCAAAAACCAAAGAACCCAAGATAGAAAATCTTGAAAGCATCCAGAGAAAAATAACACTGGAAATAATGATTCCAAGGACTGTGAACTTCTCATTAGAAACTGTGAGGGCCAGAAGATGGTAAGACATCTTAGAGATTTCCCTTTCAGAAGCCCCTCTCTGCAGCAAGGGAGAGCGCTGCTCTTTATCTTTTGCCTTTTAAACCTCTCCTAAACTCAAAAAAAAAAAAAAAAAAAAAAGGCCAGGGCTGGTGGCTTAGGCCTGTAATCCCAGCACTTTGGGAGGCCGAGGCGGGATCACGAGTTCGAGATCAGGCTGACTAGCATGGAGAAACCCCGTCTCTACTAAAAATACAAAACTTAGCCAGGCATGGTGGCACAGACTGTAATTCCAGCTACTCAGGAGTCTGAGGCAGGAGAATCACTTGAACCGGGAGGTGCAGGCTGCAGTGAGCCAAGATTGTACCACTGCACTCCGGTCTGGGCAACAGAGCGAGACTCTGTCTTAAAAACAAAACAAAACAAAACAAACAAAAAAAAAACCTCGCGCCTGTAATCTCAGCACTTTGGGAGGCAGAGGCAGGCAGATCACCTGAGGTCAGGAGTTCAAGACCAGCCTGGCCAACATGGTGAAACCCCATCTTTAAAAAAAAAAAAAAGTGCTAAGAGAAAAAACTAAATCTGTCATATCACAATCCTATCTCCAGTGAAGATATTCTTTAGGAATGAAGGCAAAAGAATTTTCTTTTATTTCCAGATAAAAAGAAAACTAAGATCATTTGTCACCAGCAATGCTGTGCTATAAAAAATACTAAAAGAAGTTATTGGGCCGGGCGCGGTGGCTCACGCCTGTAATCCCAGCACCTTGGGAGGCCGAGGCGGGTGGATCACGAGGTCGAGAGATCGAGACCAGCCAGGCGCGGTGGCTCACGCCTGTAATCCCAGCACCTTGGGAGGCCGAGGCGGGTGGATCACGAGGTCAAGAGATCGAGACCATCCTGGCCAACACAGTGAAACTCCATCTCTACTAAAAATACAAAAAAATTAGCCGGGCGTGCTGGCATGTGCCTGTGGTCCCAGCTACTTGGGAGGCTGAGGCGGAAGAATCGCTTGAACCCAGGAGACGGAGGTTGCAGTGAGCCGAGATTTCGCCACTGCACTCCAGCCTGGTGACAGAGCAAGACTCAAAAAAAAAAAAAAAAGAAGTTCTTTAGGCAGAAGAGAAATGATGTTGGAAGGAATGAGAGCATAGAAAAGGCTAAATAGGCCAAGCGTGGTGGCTCACGCCTGTAATTCCAGCACTTTGGGAGGCCGAGGCAGGTGGATCACCTGAGGTCAGGAGTTCGAGACCAGACTGGCCAACACAGTGAAACCCCATCTCTACTAAAAAGACAAAGAGTAGCCGGGCATGGTGGCCCACGCCTGTAATCCCAGCTACCCCAGAGGCTGAGGCAGGAGAACCCTTTTGAACATGGGAGGCAGAGGTTTCAGTTAGTCAAGATCGCATCACTGCCCTCCAGCCTGGGCAGCAGAGTGAGACTCGGTCTCAAAAAAAATAAAAAATAAAAATCTAGGTAAATATTAAAAGCTATTAGCTTCCTCTTCATTTCTTTAAAATGTAATATAACTATTTAAACCTAAAAAACATGATCAAATTAAGGAACCATTAAAAGAATCATAGGATAAACCCAAAAACGGTGGAAAGACAGAAAACAACGAACTAAGAACAGAAATTCAGAATTAGTTTTTTGACTTCGAGTGATGGGATGCCCTCGGCGCTTTAGGCCACCGCTTCGGTTATAGAGATTGAGGTGAAACCCCAGGCCTGGGAACCGGACGCAGGCAAAGGGGGAAGATGGAAGCGTGGCGCTGTGTGAGGAAGAGCTGTGGTGGGAAGAGGCCGATACCCCATGTTTTCCCTTCACTCGAGGAGTCTGGGCAGAGACTGGACTACACCGTGGGAGAATCTGCAAAGGTGTTGCTGGAACAGACATATTTCTAGTTGTATGAGGTGGCCTGGACATTACTCTCAAGTTCCTTACCCATACTTCAGTAGTAGGCATTTTTCACTAAATTGGAGACCACCCTGTTTGTTTGAGTCTAGAACTCAGTTCCAGTACTGTAACTGGAGACCTGACAACCTGAGCCAGACATCTTTGATTCACCTCTCTAGTTACGTCATGAATGCTGAGGGAGATGAGCCTTCATCAAAACGAAGAAAACACCAAGGCGTGATAAAGCGGAATTGGGAATATATGTGTAGCCATGATAAAGAAAAAACGAAGATCCTAGGAGATAAAAATGTTGATCCCAAATGTGAAGACAGTGAGAACAAGTTTGACTTTTCAGTGATGTCCTATAATATACTTTCACAAGATTTATTGGAAGATAACTCTCACCTTTATAGACATTGCCGGCGGCCAGTATTACACTGGAGTTTTAGGTTTCCCAATATTCTGAAAGAAATTAAACACTTTGATGCAGACGTACTTTGTTTGCAAGAAGTTCAAGAAGATCATTATGGAGCAGAGATCAGGCCAAGTTTGGAATCACTGGGTTATCACTGTGAATATAAGATGCGGACAGGAAGGAAACCTGATGGCTGTGCTATTTGCTTCAAACATTCCAAATTTTCACTCTTGTCAGTGAACCCAGTGGAATTCTACCACCCTGATATTTCTCTGTTGGACAGAGACAATGTTGGATTAGTTTTACTCTTACAGCCCAAAATTCCATGTGCTGCCTCTCCTGCGATCTGTGTAGCAAATACGCATCTATTGTATAATCCAAGGCGAGGTGATATTAAGCTGACCCAATTGGCAATGCTACTGGCAGAGATTTCCAGTGTTGCCCACCAGAAAGATGGCAGCTTCTGCCCTATTGTTATGTGTGGTGACTTTAATTCTGTTCCTGGTTCTCCACTATATAGTTTCATAAAGGAAGGAAAATTGAATTATGAAGGACTTGCCATAGGAAAGGTA